ATTCCCAGTACCGGAGAAAAACTAAAATAAATAAATAAATAAAATTAAACTTAATTCCACAGCCGGGCGTGGTGGCATAGGCCTGTAATCCCAGCACTTGAGAAGCTGAGGCAGGAGGATTGCAAGGCCAGTTTGGGCTACACAGTGAGTTCAAGGCTAGCCTGAACTACACAGTGAGACCCTATCTCAAAAAACAGAACAAAATAAAGCCTGGTGTTGTGGTGCACACCTTGGGAGGATCACTGCGAGTCAGGCCAGCCTGTGCTACAAAGTGAGTTCAAGGTCAGCCTGAACTAACACAGGGAAACCCTGTCTAAAAAAACCAGACCAGACCAGACCAGACCAATCCCAGCCCTCAAAGAATTCAGACTCTCTGCAGGATAAGACATGCATCACAGTTGGAAAATAAAACCTTCCATTATTTTTCTCTTTTGCGGCACTGGGTGGGTTGTGTATGTGTGTGTGTGTGTGTGTGTATGTCTTCTGAGTACCTCCTGAGTGCTGGGATTATTGGTGTGCACCACCATGCCCAGCAGCACTGGGTATCTGAACTCACTTTGTAGCACAGGCTGGCCTGACTCGCAGTGATCCTCCCAAGGTGTGTACCACAACACCAGGCTTTATTTTGTTCTGTTTTTTGAGATAGGGTCTCACTGTGTAGTTCAGGCTAGCCTTGAACTCACTGTGTAGCCCAAACTGGCCTTGCAATCCTCCTGCCTCAGCTTCTCAATCCTCCTGCCTTAGCTTCATACATACTTTCTTTTTGTTTTGTTTTTCTCTGGTACCGGGAACCGAACTCACGACATTGCACATGCCAGGCAGGCTCTTTTGCCGCTGAGCTAAACCCCCAGCCCCGCTTCATACATACTAAGTAAGCATCTTATCACTGAGCTACATCCCCAGCCCTTTTTATTTTACAGTAAGTCCCCGATTTAGGAACATTCAAACTGTAAACTTTTACAGGTCTACTGTGTAGGACTCATTCTTTCAGACTTAGGAAAGAATTGGATTTACAAATGTTCTTCTGCATAGAACTCATTCATAAATCGGGGACTTACTGTATTTTGAGACAGGGTCTCACTAACTTGCTCAGGCTGGCCTCAAAACTGCAGTCCTCCTATCACAGCCTCCTGAGTAGCTGGGATTGCAGCTGTGTACTGACATATTCTAGAATTTTTTTTTTTTTTTTTTTTTGAGACAGGGTCTCACTATGCAGTTCAGGCTGGCCTTGAGCTCACTTTGTAGCCCAGGCTGGCCTCGAACTCCCAAGGATCCTCCTGCCTCAGCCTCCCGAGTGCTGGGATTACAGGTGTGCGCCATCATGCCCGGCAATCCTAGGATTCTTTGTGACCTTTTTTTTTGTTTTTTTTTCCGGTACCAGGAATCGAACTCACGACCTTGCACTTGCCAGGCAGGTGCTGTGCCACTGAGCTAAATCCTCAGCCCCAATCCTAGAATTCTTAATCATGTAGTAAAGACATTTACTGTTCAATAGCCACATGAGACTATTAAGTAGTTGAAAATAAGCTAGTAGCGCAGGCTAAAATGGCAGTATTTTGAATATGTTGCATTACTTTTATATATACATATATAGTTTTTTTTTTGAGTCAGCATCTCACTATGAAATTCTGGCTGGCCTTGAACTCACAGTGATCCTCCTGCCTCAGCCTCCTGAGTGCTGGGATTACAGGCATGCACCACCATGCTGGCAAAATGATATATATTATGAAACGGAATTTTGTTATTTTAAAAGCTTAGCTAGTTGGCATAGTGATACATGCCTGTAATCCCAACACTCAGGACGCTGAGGCAGAAGGATCACTGTGAGTTTAAGGCCAGCCTGGGATACATAATGAGACCCTATCTCAAAAAAACTAAAAAGCATAAAACTTGGCTAAAATGGGGATGGTGACATACTCCTATAACCCCATCACTTTTCAGAGGCTGAGGCAGGAGGACTGCAAGTTTGCAATCAACCTGGGTCATTCAGTGACTCAATAAGTCCCTGTCTCTAATTTTATTTATTTATTTTTTTTTGTCTTTTTGAGACAGAGTCTTGCTATGCAGTTCAGGCTGGGCTTGAACTGATTTTGTAGCCCAGGATGGCCTGGAATTCCAGTGATCCTCCTGCCTCAGCCTCCAGAGTGTTGGGATTACAGGCATGTACCACCACACCCAGCATGTCTCTAATTTTTTAAAAGGGCAAGGATGTAACTTATTGCACACTCCCTGGGTTTAATCCCCAGTGGAAGGAAGAAAGGGAAGGCAAGCAGGCTGAGGATGTAGTTCAGTGCAAAGAACCTGGGTTCAATCCCCAGTACCACAAAAACAAAAAATACGGCTACATGAAATTTAAAACTATGTGTGTGAAGGCTGGGGATAACTCAGCATGGTGGCACACACCTGTAATCCTGGCACTTGGGAGGCTGAGGCAGGAGAATCACTGCAAGTTTAAGGCCAGCCTGGGCTACAAAGTGAGTTCAAAGCCAGCCTGAACTGCACAGTGAAACCCTGTCTCAGGGGGTTGGGGATATAGCTCAGCGGCATAAGCTCCTGCCTGGCAAGCGCACGGTCATGAGTTCAATTCCTGGTACCAAAAAAACAAACAAACAAAAAACCCAAAGAAACCACCAACAAAAACCCCTGTCTCAGACAAAAACAACAAAAAAAAGGCTGGGGATTTAGCTCAGAGGTTGAGTGTTTCCCTAGCACAGATGAGGCCATGGGTTCAGTAACCAGAATGGGGAGGGTACAAATTATGGCTCATGCTTTCTTTCTACTGATAGTGTAGAAGAGATGGTGGCGCACATCTACAATCCTAGCATTCTGGGAGGCAGAGGCAGAAGGATCCCAAATTTGAGCCCAGCCTGGGCAACTGAGGAACTTAGCAACACCCTGAGAGAGGGAGAGAGAGGGAGAGGGAGAGAGAGAGAGAGAGAAAGAGAGAGAGAAAGAGAGGGAGGGAAGGAGGGAGGCGGGAGAGAGAAAAGATTGTATAGGGCAGAAAAGGCCCAGCCCAATACATATTTTATACAGAAAATTTTATTAGAACACAGCTTTGTTTTGTTTTATTTTTCTTCTGGTACCAGGAATTGAACACTCACGACCTTGAGCTTGCCAGGTGCTTTGCCACTGAGCTAAATCCCCAGCCCACAATTTTTTTTTTTTTTTTTTTGGCAGTACTGGGGATCGAACTCACGACCTTGTGCTTGCCAGGCAGGCACTTATGCCACTGAGCTATATCCCCAACCTAGAACACAGCTGTACCCATCCGTTTATGCACTGTCTATGTGCCACACCAGCTAAGGTAAGCAGCTCTGCACTGTTTAATAACCAGGCAATGCTCTGTGAAATTCACCTTAGGGGATTCCGCTTAGCATAAACATCAGAGTGTACTCACGTAACCTAAAATGCTACCACATCACTAGGCTTTGTAATCTCATGGGATATGATTATCATTGAGCAAAATGTCACTATGTGGTACATGGCTGCAACTGAGACACAAACCCTGTGGCCTACAAGCTTAAAATACTATTTGGTCCATTATAAGTCAGCTATGCTGGTGTAGACAAACATTTAGACAGAGCTTTAAGAAAACCTGTATTGGCCAGGGATATAGCTCAGTGGTACAAGCGCCTGCCTGGCAAGTGCAAGGTCCTGAGTTCGATTCCGAGTACAAAAAAAAAAGAAAACCTGTATCAAGGCTGGGAGTGTAGTGCAATGGTATAGTGCTTGTCTGACACACACCAGGAACAGGGTTCAACCCTGCCAGCACCAGATAAAAAAATTCTACCCACCCCAACTGCCCCTGGGATCCCTCTATCACAAGGATAAGACGTAAACTTCCTGTGCTCCAATACCTGCAGTGAGCTTCATGACCCACCAAACTCCTCTCTCATGTCCCACCTGTCCTACTTCCCTGTCTTCTCAAATTCTACAATGACATTTCTAGTCTTGTGTGTGTGTTTAACAGGTTTGTACTAGAGATTGAAGCCAGGGCCTTCACAATGAGTAACACTCCCTGCCCTTTTCTAATTTTGTGACAAGGACTCACTAAATTGCTGAACTGCCAAGCTGGGTTGGAATTTATGATCCTCCTGCCTCAGCGCCCACAGTGCTAGCACTGTTTTTTGTTGTTTTTGAGACAGTCTTGCTAAGTTGCCCAGGCTGGTTTTGAAGTTATGATCCTCCTGCCTCAGCCTCCTGTGTAGCTGGGAGTACCTGTGCCTGGCCAGTACCACTAATCTTTTTCCTATTTCAGCTAGTCTCAACTTTCATAGTGCATCATAATCATCAGTTTTCTTTTTCTGTACTTGTAATTGAATCCAGGGCTTTTGCACTGAGCTACACCCCCAGTGCCTTTTTAAATTTTCAGAGTGTGTCAGGGCTGGAGATTAGCTCAGCGGCACAGCGCCTGCCTGGCAAGTGTGGGTCGTGAGTTCAATTCCCAGTACCGGGAAAAAAAAAAAAAATTTCAGAGTGTGTCATAAGTTGCTTATGCTGGACTCCAACTTTTGATCCTCCTGCCTCAGCTTCCTAGAGTGCTGGTACTACAGTACCCAGTTTAAGGAAGGTATTTTTTTGCCCAACTAGTATGAGGAAAGTTAAACAGGGAGTTTACATTCTGCAGGTAATTCTAACGCAGGCCAGGCTGAGCACCCTCCCCTTAGCAGCTTGCAGGCCCACTGATTCTAAGTCTACCCCAAGCCCTTCTCCAGCCAGTGGTGATGAATGTATGGCACGCATGCGGAAGCCGGCGGACAGCTCTAGAAGGTTTGCCGTCACTGAAGCCCCTCCTGGTCCCAGCACCACCTCGCTGCGTGGCTCACCCTGCTTCCAATCTACCTTTCCAGGTTTCTGGCTCACTATTCCCCTTCATACCCTTTAGCTGGACTGGACTGCAGTGTACTCAGCAAAGCTTCATGTTTCTGTCCTCATTTGCTTCGTTTTATCCCCCCTTGGGGGTGTTGAGAAAGGGTCTTGCTATGTAGTCATGCTAGCCTTGCACTCACTATGTAGGCCTGGATGGCCTTGAACTCATGGCAGTCCTCCTGCCTCAGCCTCCCAAGTGCTGGGATCACAGGCGTGCACCACCACACCCAGCCTCTCTTAACTTCTTGAGGGAAGGAACTGCTTCACACTGAATGGACTGGGTTGTCAGGAAGGCTTTTTTTTTAAAGACAAACACTCTACCACTGAGCTACATCCCCTGCCCCAGGAGGCTTTAAACAGAACAAAACAAAACACAACTCAGGGAAATACAGCTGCCCTGACCTGAGGGAAATTCCCCTGCCCCAGCCCAGGCAGGCTTCTTTTTTTTTTTTTTTTTTTTTTGTCTTTTTTGAGACAGGTCTTGCTATGCAGTTCAGGCTGGCCTTGAGCTCACTTTGTAGCCCAGGCTGGTCTTGAACACCCAACAATCCTGCCTCAGCCTCCTGAGTGCTGGGATTACAAGCATGCACCACCACACCCGGCTCACCCAGGCTGACTTCTTGAAGAGGTACAATTTAGCTTACAGCTTCCAAGATTTGCATGCTAGCCAGTCCTGAAGAGTCTTATGCTCTTTCCACCACCTGGAGCAGATCCAATAGCTAAGAGTTTAAAACAGCATTTCTAAAATGCTTCCCTGGGCCAGAGAAAGTAAAAGGAACTGTTCTTCTTTCACACCTTGAACAGAGAAAGGTGTCTGAATTCCCAAAGTAACAAACTGAGCTGCTTTTTCACATTCACTTGTTAATTCCTTCATTCATCCTCCTTTGGGTAGAAAACTGACATTCCCTATACTCCTTTCTAACCTCCTCCAAAGCAAGTGAGAAACTGGTAGGTAATTTATAACTGTTCTATGGATAATGAGACATTTAGTAGGCAAGTAGACGCGTGAAACAAAACAGGAAAAAAGAGTGTCTTGAAGCACACAGGACGGAAATGACACAGAAAGTGACTGGCTGTACTCCGGCTTTACTAAAAGATCTATGCAGAATTGGCTGGGCTGGGGTGTAGTTCAGCGGTACAGCACTTGCTCAGCAGGTGTTCAGGCTCTGGGTTCAAGCCCCAGTACAGACAAAACAAACAAACAAAAGCCTGGACACTTAGCAATTTAGTGAGACCTTGTCTCAAAAAATAAAAAAAAGGCTATAAATGTAGCTCAGTGTTAAGGCCCTGGTTCAGGCCCCAGTACCACAAAAAACAACCAAGGATGAACTTCTTGGCAAGGTTATTATACACTTAGAAAGACAGGGTAGCCAGGCGTGATGGCATATACATCTGTAATCCCAGTATTTGGGAGGCTGAGGCAGGAGGATCACTGTGAGTTTCAGGCCATCCTGGGCCACATAGTGAGTTCAAGACCAGGATAAACTACATAATGAGACACTCTCAAAAAAAAAAAAAAAAAAGGCTAAGGAATTTCCTTTTCGAGAAAAGAGGAACAAGGAAAGAAAATAACTTCTTTTGGGCAACCTAATGGGGATCCCCGTTTCTCAGCAGCTATCCCTTGTCCCCCCAAAACCTTTCCTATTCTTAACCGCCTTAAAAAAAAAAAAAAAGAATTTTTTTTGGTGGTACTGGGGATTGAACCTAGGCAGTAGTAAGCTATATCCCAAAGCCCTTTTTATTTTGAGACTGGGGCTTGGTAAATTGCTCAGGCTGGCCTCCAACTTTTCATCTTCCTGCCTGAGCCTCTTGAGTAGCTGGCATTAAGGGCATGTACCACCACATTTGGCAAGAAATGACTTAACTTTTGAGTGGCTACTACATATTAGACTTTTACTACAGAATATAGGAGCTACTAGCCACGTGTGGCTAGTGAGCACCTGAAGGGTTACTGCCATATACTGAAATAGTCTGGGTAAATTTTGGATTAATTATTATTATTTTTGTTTTTTGTTTTTTGTTTTTCTCCGGTACCAGGAACCGAACTCATGACCTTGCGCTTGCCAGGCAGGCGCTTTTGCCGCTGAGCTAAATCCCCAGCCCCATGGATTAATTATTTTTAAGATGGTCTCACTATGGTAGTTCAGGCTGGCCTCCAACTTGCAGTGAACCTCCTGCCTCAGCCTCCAAAGTGCTGGGATCACAGGTGTGCACCACCATGGCCGAGCAAATGGATTGTTAAAAACTGATTTCACCTTATTATTATCTTTTGGGGGACCTGGAATTGAACTCATGACCTTGTGCTTGCAGGGCAGGCGCTGTGCCGCTAAGCTAAATCCCCAGCCCCTCCACATTATTTTTTAATTAGATAATACTGCCTACAGTTTTACGTCTAATACCCAATTTAATTCTCAAATATAACTTATTGTAGTCCTTTCTAGGACTTATTATTTTATGGGATAGAAAGGAAAAAGTAGGGGCTGGGAATTTAGCTCAGCGGCAAAAGCGCCTGCCTGGCAAGTGCAAGGTCGTGAGTTCGGTTCCGGTACCGGAGAAAAACAAACAAAAACAAAAACAAACAAAAAAAGGAAAAAGTATGTGCCAGACATTTGACAAGTTACCTTGTATGTATTAACCCACTTAGGGTGACAGGAAGAAGCAGTGTAAGAAAAAAAAGAACTTGCCTAAGGTCACACAGGTCACCAATGACACAGCAGGACTGACTCCATGCCCTTTCCTACACTCCAGTGCCTTCCTTAGACAAAGAGAAAAGCTGGAACCTAATTAGCTGGCAAGGCAGTGCATGTCTGTAACACCAGCACTCTGGAGGCTGAGGCAGGAGGATGGACAAGGGGCTGCACAGTGAAATCTGTCTCAGAAAAAAAAAAAAAAAAAAAAAAAAAATACAACAAACCTAATCCATATATCCTCAGCAAGGGCACAAAACCCCTCCTCCCAACCCTCCTCTCTGTGGTGGCAGCCCAAGGATCATGTGATTGTAGCTCAACTCACCAGGGCCTCTCTTATCCCAGCCACAAATCATGGTGCCCATGGACAGCCCCATGCCTTTGTACTGATAGACCATGTTGGCCAGCAGCTTGGAGGCCGCTGCCACTGAGATGCGTTCCTTATTTCGTAGCTCATAGATTCGACACTGCCGAGCCAACAGCCGCTCCCAGAAGCTGCAATCGGCTGCACCTCCGGCCATGGTGCCCAGAAGGTAGGGGTTGATTTCTATCACCTTCTTCACCGTCTGGGAAGCGATGTAAGCACCCGCGGTGGCCCGGGAGTCGGCTGCAACAATGACTCCATGGCGAAACTAAAGATTAGAACACAAAAGAAGCCACGTGAGACCACCAAGGCAGCCGCAGCACACCTCTGCCCTACGCGTCACCCCTCCACAGTGTCCCTCTCCGCATACTGCTGTCCCCTGAGCGTCACTGCGGACCCTCAACGCGAGCACAGCCAGGACTACACGCGCTTTATGGGTGAGGGAAAGAAAGGTTCAGCGAGATCGAACGACCTGCCCCAGATTTAGGGCTGGTCACTGCCGAGCTCGGCCAGGGACCTCGGCCGCGGCTCCCTGCGCCGCACCAAGCTTCCCGCGCGGGCCTCGGGCTCGCTTATCCGGCAGGGGCCGCCCCAGTTACAAAACCTG